TTCACACACATATACATAGATATATACAATACATGTGCTATATACACAACGCAAACATATATGTGTATATATGCATACCTGTGTGTGTCTATATAATTTTGTGCAAATATGCATATACTTATATATATGTGTATATATATATACATATACGTATGTATATGTGTGTGTATATATATACATATACATATGTATATGTGTGTGTGTGTATATATATATATAGATATATACATACACATATGCTATGCAGTGTGTTTGTATATGTGTATAAGTTTTGGTGGTGCCTTTCGAGTTGGAAAATTTTCAGGCTGAGTATTACAGTAACAAAGACTGCCGAACTGGTCTCCTTTTCTGGAATTGTGAAGAGGTACGTGCGTACACACCCATCCATTGTGGGTACTTACCTACAGAGTCACCACCCTGACGCACATGAACAGCTGAGAAGTCAGAGGAAATGGAGGCCAAAGAGCAGCCCGGGGCGAAGGAAAATAATGAGGATGTGCCAGGAGAGGGTTAGCCCTGACAGGTAGAGTCATCTTTGAACAGCATTTGCAGAATAAAGACTCCAGTGTTCGGCACCATGTAGAGGACAGGATTGGAGTCTCCTGACACTTGACAATCGTCCCAGGATTTTTGTTCCTGCTTTTTTTGTTTGTTCCCCTCCCCCTTAACACACTCTTCCCATCACAATGTCTGTGCACATTTATGTCTCTCAGTGACCTGTGTTGTTTTTTAGAATGATAATTTGGCGGAAGCAGCATTTAATATACATACATTTCACTTGAAGAGCATGCATATGGTAAACAAATCATAAATGACCAATAATCCCATAGAAGGCTTCCACCTTCAAGCCTCAGTTTCCCTCTCTCTAAAATAAGAGGATCTGCCATATAAAATTCTATGATTCAACTCCCTAGAGCAGTGAGGTCATTCTTTCCCATGGAGTGTGGGAAGATGAAGTGTGCTCACAACACAGGTTTGTGTATGCTGTTAATTTGCTATTCTTTGTGCCCATTGCCATGGAAACCATAATCAAGGTATCCTTGTAAACGTTTATCCTCACCTATTCCTGGCTTCTGTCAAAGTGGGAAGAAGGGAACAGTTCATACCTGGGTCCAAACCCACAGTATTAAATGGGATCAAGGTAAAAATAGTTGGGCTGATACATTTATGTGTAGGCAAGTTAATTGGTAATTGGTTGCATCAGGCAAGTTCTTCCTTTTCTTGTTGTTTTCCCTCCCTCCCCCCATCCCATTTTTATGGTACTGCATCTTGAAAGTTCCCAGTTTCATTGTTATTGCATTTTATAAAATCTAGTACTAAATTTCATGGCTTCTTTCATGAATTCTTTTTGCCAGGCAGAGTAAATACAGCTCCTCACCCCAATGACATTACCTTTATATTTAATGAAAACTCCTTTCACTCTTAAATCTCCAATTAAGACCCAATATTAATTTAGGAACTCAATTTTAGTCACTTTTTTCTTTCTGTTTTTTAAAAGAACATTATTTAAAAAAAATTTTTTTCCCTATAGGCGCAGGATGAAGGGTCTGAGACATGCACTCTCAGCTGGTTACCAAGAAAACTCTTCTTAAGATTCGTTAAAGACCCTTTCTCCTTTTTATTTTCTAACATATGATATCAGTTGGTCTTTTTTTGTTTGCATGTATCTAAAGCAACCAAACCAGAGGGTTTTCTAATGGATGAAATACTAAAATTTCTTTCTCTAAGATTTTTTTATTTTTTTAGAAAAATCTCTCTAGGATGTTCTAAGGGCTGTTCCTACCTAGAGGCAAGGGGAAGGACTTATGTGACCTTTCCTCATCTCTGCCTGCCTTCTGATTCTATCCTTAAAGAATGTACAGTGGTTTTTCATGATAACAAAAGCCCCATTTGGAAAACAGCTACAAACTTGTACAAAGCTCATGGAGTCACCGGCATCTCCATGAATGCAAACGTGCTGACTAATAGTTCTTCTTAACAGAAAGAACCTCAAGGGGCTGTTGTTTCTAGCCCTGGTGAGGTCTTGTGTGAACAATAAAGGAAGAATGATAGCTTGGCCATGTCAGATTTATTCCTGCAATGACCATAGTTTCCAAAATGGAGAGGAATGAGTGAACGAATTAAGAAACACAAACAAAAAAATCCAAACTTCTAAGTAACTCAGCATTGTGTAAAATGTTCATATTAACATTGACCAATAGAGTCCTTAGTGTCAGAACTCAGTGAGGTAGATGTGAGTCAGAATCTGGCTTCCATTCCTTAGATGAAAAAAAAATGGGACAGAGAAAGATTATATGATAACTGCCATGGTACAAGGGCAACCAGGAAGTACGGCTCTAAGAGGGAGCTGGTAGAGTGCCCCAGAGATCTGGGATCTGTGCTTGGTCATGTGCTATTTAACATTTTTAAAGAAGCAATGAATTGGATAAAGGTATAGAGGGTGTGCTTCTCAAATTTGGAGCTGGTACAAAGGTGCCGGGGGGAGCCAACATATTGGAAGACAGAGTCAGTATCCAAAAGGAACTTGGCAAAGTAGATAGGATAAAATGTAAGAGGGAAAAATGTTCAATCTTGCATTTGGGTTCAAAGAAAACCAATTTCACAAGTACAAGAAGAAGAAGCCATGGCTAGAAGGTTCTGACAAAATCTTGGGGTTTTATTGGACTCAGTTTGAGTCAAGAGTATGATATGGTGGCCAAGGACTCTAGTGTCAACTTGGGATGCCTTAAAAGGAGTATGGAGTTGAACAGAATTCAGAATTACTTAGGAGCTGTTGCTGACATTGCTGCTGCTGCTGCTGCTGCTGCTGTTGTTTTAAATTTCATTCACTCATTCCTCCCCATTTTGGAAACAGTAGTTACTGGAGAAAAAAAATCTGATGTGTCCAAGTTGATAGCTCTAACTATGGTTAGAGTATCGTATTTCAATTCTAGGGGCCACACCACATTGTAGGAAGGATACTGTTAAGCTAGACAGTGTGCAGTTAAAAGAAACTGGGTTAACGAAGATGATAAGATCATAGGATCATAGATTTGTGATAGACCATGGAAGAGACCTCAAAAGCCAACCCCCTCATTAAAAAAGTATGACATTTTAATGTAATGCAACATTGCATCAGTCATACTTACACTTTCTATGCTGTCCCAGAGCACACTTATTTTATTTTTTAATAATAGTTTATTTCCCCCCCAATTGAATGTAAAAACAATTTTAACATTCTTTTTTTTTAATTTTGAGTTCTAAATTCTCTCTCTCCCTCCTCTCCCTCTGTGCTGAGATGATAAGCAATCTGATATATATGTGCAATCATGTAGAAAATATTTCCGTGTTAACCATTTTGAGGAAGGAAGGAAGGAAGGAAGGAAGGAAGGAAGGAAGGAAGGAAGGAGGAAGGAAGGAAGGAAGGGAGAGAGGAAGGAAGGAAGGGAGAGAGGAAGGAAGGAAGGAAGGAAGGAAGGAAGGAAGGAAGGAAGGAAGGAAGGAAGGAAGGAAGGAAGGAAGGAAGGAAGAGGAAGGAAGGGAGGGAGGGAGGAAGGAAGGGAGAGAGGAAGAAAGGAAGGAAGGAAGGAAGGAAGGAAGGGAGGAAGGAAGGAAGGAAGGAAGGAAGGAAGGAAGGAAGGAAGGAAGGAAGGAAGGAAGGAAGGAAGGAAAGAAAAATCATATGCTTCAGTCTATATTCAGGCTCCAGCAGTTCTTTTTCTGGAGGTGGATAGCACTTTTTCCTCACAAGTCCTTTGGGATTGTCTTAGATCATTGTATTGCTGAAAGTAGCTAAGTCATTCACAGTTCTTCATCAAACAGTATGGCTATTACTGTATACAATGTTCTCCTGGTTCTGAAGCTCACTTCACTCTGCATCGGGTCATGTAAGTCTTTCCAGGTTTTTCTGAAACCATTCTCCTTCTCATTTCTTATAACACAATAATATTCCATTACACTCTTATACCACAGCTTGTTTAGCCACTCCCCAGTTGATGGGCACACCTTTGATTTCCAATTCTTAGCCACCATAAAAAGAGTTGCTGTAAATACCCTTGTACAAATAGGTCCTTTTCCCTTTTTATCTCTTTGCAGCTCCCTCATTTTTATGGAAGAGGAAACTGAGACCCAGGGTGGTAGTAAGTGTGGGAGGTGCTGTTTGGTCATTTGAACCCAGTGCTTGAGGTTATTCCTTATGAGAATCAGCTGAAGGAACTAGTGCTGCTGAGCTGACAATAACAAGACCGAGGGGGACGTGATAGCAGTCCTTAAGCGTTTGAAATGCCATCATATAGAAAGGGTATTTAATTTCTTCCAGTTGGCCTTAATACAGGAATTCTTAACCTTATTTGTGTCATGGATTATTTGGACAATCTCATGAAGCCTCTAGACCCTTCTCAGAATAATCTAATCAAAATGTTTTAAAAACCAGCTCATAGACCCCGTGAAGATCCAGTCTTCACTGAAGAGTAGAACTAGGGACAACGTGTGAAAGTTGCAAAGAGGAGATTTGGGCTCAACTCCAGGGAGAGCTTCCTCCTGGTTAGAATCATCCCAGGATGGAAGGGGCTGCCCAGAGTTAATGGGTTCTCATTCATTTTGAGCTTTGAGCAGACTGGATCATCCTATGGGACTGTTTTAGAGGAGATTTGTTTTCAGGTATGGTTTGCACTAGTTAGTCCCTGAGGGCCCTTTTGACCCCAAGACTTGGTTATTTTGTGGATGACACCTGTTTTCCCTGTTATAACAAAGTAAAGCATGAAGTTGGGGCTGAAAGAGCAGGAGTGGCTTGAGGTTTGCATCATTCACTCAATGATATTCTTGACACCAAATGTGATTTCCAAGAAATGATTTCAAATCCCTTCAGTGGAATTTTGGACAAGTTAAAAAAATGATGAAAAGTGGTTGATAATGGCCTCAGATGAAGCTATTTCACAGACACTTGGGCAAGTATGAAGTGGATGAGGACAAAAGGACTCTAAGACAATGGTGATTTTAAGAACTCATTTTCTGGTCTGTGCCGACAAAACCCAGTGCCAAGGACCAAAGATGTAGAAGGGTGTGCAGGCTTCCATCTGGTGTGGTGACAGACTGTTGGTTGAATCAAAAAAGAAAAGGCAGAGTAAATAGCAGTAGAAGGCTAGGGTTACACCCATTATGCCATTGACCTGCCATTGTTTTCCCTGTTATGACAAAGTGAGACATCAAGTTGGGGCTAAAAGAGCAGAAGCGGCTTATATTTGTTCACTCTTACAGCTTTGAAGCTTCCTTGCATGTTGGACTTTTAACATAGATCAGTAGATAAGGAGCACGGGAGCTATCCGAATAAAATGGGCCTTGTAGCCCATGTGGGATGGAGCCTTGATTTCATGTAGCCATGAGTTATGACACCAAATACCCCTTCCCAAAGTGTCATACCTTTGTTTGTACTGAAGCCCATGACTGGAAGTTGGCAATATGGACAGTAAGCAGTTCATCTCCACATTCCCCACATTCCCTAAAATGATTAATAAAAAGATGTTGGTATCATCATGCAAATAATGTCAACATTTGCCATTTGGCTGCTATTGAGAGTAGCCAATTAAACAGAGGAATCTTGACTTCCAAACATGATAGATTGTATTAAAAGCCAATACTGACAATATTAGCCATGGTTTGATTGCTATAACATGGGTCTGACCTTCCATTACAGCCTTGTCTCCAAGGGTTCCTATCCTTCCTTTAGGACCCAAACCATGACCAACACATTATTAGTCAGGTGGGGAAGGCTCAAGGCAGGTGGGGGGAGAGGTGAATCTCATTAAAAACAAGAACATTAACTTTTATGCAGACTCACCAGGACTTTGGAATTTTTGACTGTGGACAGTTTTATGAGATACTGAGACTTAACGAAGTCATCGTCTACTAATGAATCTTTTGGTCATGAGCTACTTGGAACTTGGCTGAGCTGATCTTGAAGTATCAGTCCACCAGGAACCCTGTGCTTTCCAGCTTTGTAGGGTCTGCTACATCTTGTGTTCTGCTGGCAAATCCATGGAGAACCCAGGGTCGTATCCATGCCATGATGAGGTATCAGAATAAGGTATTCTTGGTTATGATCAGGAATAAGTCTATGGTGAATAACAGTCATGGGCAGCGCTAAGCCTAGTGGGTAGGACTGGCCTTGATCACTCAGCAGATCAGTCAAGAAGGCACTATCCTAGGCACCAGGGATGGAAAGACAAAAAAATGGAAGAATCCCTGCCCTCAAGGAGTTTACATTCTATCTGATAAAGATATGTATACCTTTTATTTCTCTTAAATGCAGCTTTTAAAAGCATAAGCAAATGAGTAGTATTCTTGTAAAAAGTTTTGCCTTCTTATGTTGTTTCTGTACACGAAGTGTTCTCTTTATTAGCTCACTTCCATTGTTGTTTTCATTTTCTTCACTTTCGTCTTTTTTTTTAATTTTTTTTTTGGCTAGGCAGTGGGGTTAAGTGACTTGCCCAGGGTCACACAGCTAGTAAGTGCTATGTGTCTGAGGCCAGATTTGAACTCAGGTCCTCCTGAATCCAGGGCTGGTGCTCTGTCCACTGCACCACCTAGCTGCCCTCACTTTCTCCTTTATATGATATTTGAAACACACATAATACTTCAGGGAGGGAGTCATAATGAAATTCCTGTCTATCTTTCCATCAAAAGATGAAGCTATAATTTAGATAAAATGCCAATATGGTTGGCATCTTCTCATGTCAGGACGCTCTAGCAAACTGGATTATCCATATAAAATATTCAGATCATAGATAGAACTGGGTAGTGGACTGGGAGAAGCACTGGATCAAAAGACATGGCTTCAAACCTTGGGCAAATCCCTTTCCCTCCTGGGCCTCAGTTTCCTCATCTGTAAAAGGAAAAAGCTGGACTCAGTGATCTTTCAATTCCTTTCTTGTTTTCAAGGCTATAAGCCTATGACGCTAACGTCTTTCAATGGCAGATTGTAGATCAATGTCCTGTGATAAAGAATATATTTATTTCTCAACACCACATGAAATTTTTACAATAATTAGGGATATTAATACACACACACACACACACACACACACACACACACACACAAAATATACCCTTTTACAAGCCATAATGCCATCAAAATAACCATCAGTCCAGGGAGCACAAGCAAAAAACAGACCCAAATGGAGACTTAACAGTGAAATCCTATGAAAAAGGATTTATAATTGAACTCCTGGAATGTCAGTCACCCGAGGTGAGATATTCGCTCTGTTTGTGTTTGCAGGGGGAGTTCCTTTTAAGAAGTGTCTTGTTGTAATGTTTTAACTTTGCATTTCTTTTAAAAAATCATCCTTTCTTAGAAACAAGGTCTCTAACTTAGGAATTTATGCAGGGAGGAGAAAACATCTGTTATTACATGAGGTTATTATTGCATTATGAAAAGTGGCATAGCGTAAGTCAGAGGTGTCTAACACTCCCCAGTGTGCCCAGAACTAGATTAAAAAGGAATTGGGGAATATTTCACAAAATAAATAGAAGTACAATAAAATAGTTAACATTGCATTTTAAAACTAAGTTAATATGCAGCCCACAGATCCTTAGGTATGGAATAACAGCCCCCATTTCTATTTGAGTTGGACATCACTACTCTCTAAACAGCTTAGTAAAACAGCAAACTGCCAAGAAGGTTGCATTAGCAACATTCATCTCTTCATTTAAGAGTTTTCTAAATCAGTGAAACCACAGTGCCAGGCCCTGACTCTAGGCCTATTATTGTATTAGAACCTTGAACACATGAAGCTTGAATTTTCCAGTTTTCCTTTTCTTTTAGCATAGATATTCAAACATAGCCACTGGCCAATTACACATAAGTGATTTTCTGAGAATTCTTTAATCCACAAGTAGAAAGAAGCTAAAGCATTTGAAATTTCAAAGCAGCAATATGATTTTCTCCTTTAAACTTTTAAAAATAAATACTTTGCAACAAAATCTCAACACAAAATATTAGTCTTCTCCTTTAGGGTGGCATTTCTAAGGCAAGTCTGTGTTTCTCATGTCCCTTTTTTAGATTACCCTTCCAGTGATATTTTATAGAAACTATTATTCTGCAGAATTACCTTTTTGCTCTTCCTTCCCAACCTCTGCCTTCTTATCCAGTCAAACACTGTGGGGATGACTTTGGACTGAGTACTTTGACCAGCTAAAAGCCCTGTTTGGGGATGGTTGCTTACCGTTTTATTTAGTGTCTGAATGTACTAGGCACGGTTAGCCAGCTCTTTCACCCTACATTTGGAATGAGTTGAATTCTATCCTGTTCCATCTTAGAAGGGGACAGGAATAGCTAGGCATGACTTTTTGAATCCATCATAAAAACCGAAACTCTAATTTCTTCATAGAAGGAGAATGGAATTAGCATTTCTTAAGCACCTACTGTGTAGTAGGCACCATGCTAAGAGCTTTTACAAATATTACCTCCTTTGAAGTTGGATGGCTTTCTTGGGCCATCTTTGCAGATTTCCATCAGGTCTCCGGCCAGAACTTCTGACAGTTGGTTGGTTAAATATCTTGGTCTACTAAAGACCTGAATATTCTTTATGATACAAGTATGTAGTTATCCTGTTAATGATGGCTGATACGCTCTCAATTTCTCAATCTTGATTTGCTAATTATGCAAACATAATACTTCTGCAAACCTTCAGCACATGTTTAATAACCTCAAGGAAGTTGGGAAACCCCAATAGTGAAATCCCTGAAACGGCTACCCCCGAACCATATTTTTAGCACAACCATACCCCTATAACTTACTCAGTTTCTCTCGCTGTAGCGATACAGTGATATGACCCCAGAAAAAGAAAACCACCCAAGCCTCAGGAAAGGAAAATCATTTTCTCAGTACTCTTTGCCACATTTTTCTACCTGTTCCTTGACCCCAGGTCTTCATCTTGTTTTCTGTGTGATCATAGGCAGGTTACCCTCTCTGGACTTCAGTTTACTCATCTGTAAAAATGAGGAGGTTGAGCTAGGTGACAGCTAAAGTCCCTCCTAGCTTGAGATAGGCATCCCTTCGAATCATGCAGCAGGTCACACCATCCCTAGTGAAGCTTCTCTTCCAGATTCCGGTCTGCAAGAGATAGGGGTAAACACTGAAGCCATGATTTCATCGCTATAAGGAACTCAAGGGTGGAGGAAGTCCTACCTCCTCTGAAAGGTATAGTCTTAGTTACCCGGAGTACCAAGAAGTTAAATGACTCATCCAGGGTCACACAGTCAGTATATGTCACAGTCAAGACATTAACCCAGATCTTCCTGGCTTCAAAGCTGGTTCTCCAATCATTACTCCAAACAGCTTCTTTTAGTATGGAACAATTAATTTTTCTAATTCCACATGCGTGCTTTAGTGATTACTAATAATAACAAAAACAAAACCAAAGCTGATCCATAACCATTTAAGAACAATGCTTTTAATAGAAATGGCCATACAGAATGATCGAAATCTATGAAACACATGGAATAAAAGGTTTCAAAATATAAAAACCTTGAGGAAGAAATCAAAACCATAAGGGAACAGAATCAAGTTCATTATCTTCCCCTTGCCGCTAGACTTGTACCAAAGATGCTTTAGGGAACCCACAGAGGTTGAGTTTATATCCCAAATCTTATATAGTTAACAAAAAAATAGTTATTTTTATTCTCCTGGCCAATAGTCCTCACAGCATCAAATATAAAAAGCAATAATGACATAGTGAAGGGTCCCAGGACCATCTTTGTTTGAACTCCATTGAAAAAAATAAGAGTGAGACATCAACAACAACTTATATGTGGATAGAGCTTTTCTTTCTTTTTTGGTTAAGACTTGTGATTTCATCAAGGGACTCTTGGTTTGGCAAGATGATGCAATTTATCAGCTCATTTCTCATTTAGAGTCTTAGAGAGCTGGCTGGGTCACTGAAAAAGAAGGAAGGATTTATTAAGCATCTACCATGTGCCTGTACGGAGTGTTTTACAAATGTCTTATTTGATCCTCCAATCCCCATTTTACAGTTGAGGAAACTGGGGCAAACAGGTTAAGTGGCTTGTCTGGGATTACATGGGTAGGAAGTATCTAAAGTGGGATTTGAACTCAGGTCTTGTGACTCTAGGTCCAGCACTCTATCCCCTCTACTTTTTACCAGCCTCTGTTAAGTGACTAGCTTGTTATCACACAGCCAGTATGTGTCAGAAGATGGACTTGAACCCACATATTCCTGACTCCAAGATCTCCCCTCTATCTCAACAGTTTCCTAACTTTGTGGTCAGACCCCTTTATACTCTTAAAAAGTAATGAGGACCCCAAAGAGCTTCTGTCTATGTGAATACCTGTTGACATTTACTATATTAGAAACTGAAAATAGTTTTGACCTCATGGACCCCCTGAAAAGGTCCCTGTTTCCGGACCATACTTAGAACCACTGCTTTATCTAGTTCAGCGTGGTGCCTTCTGTATTACCCCCTAAAAAAATCTTTCTTCACAACAAAATTGAGAGGGAGCCCATGGAAGTATGCATCCCCATTTTATAGATTAGCCAATCAATCAATAAAGATTTATTGAGTCCTCACTATGTGCCAGGTGTAGTGGTAAGTGATGGAGAAACAATTAAAAAGTAGAAACAGTCCCTACCCACTAGGAGCTAACATTCTGTAGACATCGAAGCTGACGCTTGACAAGATTAAGTGAATTGCTTTTTGAACACAGTTCTGTTTCTGTTCTTGGAGTCTCAGGGTGGCTGTAGACAGATGCTGGGATTTGACCTGTGGGTGTGGATCATTTGGGCTGTCCACCATCTCAACTGCCCAGGTCCTGCCCTCATGCTTCCCTTTAGTTGCCTGGGTTTTATCTGACCCAACAAAGTAACTTTGGCCTCTTTGGAAATGGGTCTGGTTGTGCAAGATGGCCTCATCGGTCAGCCAAGCTTCTGAATTCACTTCTGCCCCAGTGTTATGGCCTACCCACTGCTGCCTCTGAACGTGGTGCAGGCACTGCCAGTGGAAGCGTTTTCAGATCGTTGAAGACCTCTTCCAGCAGCAGCTTTTCATCACTTCCTCATTCACTGGTCTTGGAGTATCTGGGCATTTGCAATGGACTCAAAACTTTAGCCACCAGCCACAGCAAGCAGGTCCCACCACCAGGGTCCTTGTGTTGAAAGAAAACTGGGTGAAAAATTTGCTTTGAGTTTGAGAATTTGTGATTTCCTTTGATTTATAATAATCATAATAGACCCGTAGATTTAGAGCTGGAATAATAATTAATAATAACCAACATTTAAATAGTATGTTAAGTTTGCAAACATTTCATGCTTATTATCTCACTTGCTCGTGACTCACCTTCTTTTCCCATCATACATGGTAGACATTAATGAGCAAAGAAGTAAAATGGCTTCAAGGTTGTTGGTCCTTCCTCTTCTCCATAATTCCTGTGCTTCACACATAGTAGGCACGCAGTACTTCATCTGATTGATTTTTGTTAACTTTGGGAGGAAGCATGAAGAAACAATTTGTTAAAGTTCTCAAGTTAGAGGGCTGCAAGAGCCATTGAATAGGTTCAGAAGACAGCCATCTCTTATTTACCTGTGGTTACAAATGGTTAGTGCAACCATAGGCATGGATGGGGGTGGTCCCTTTGGGAGGCCCAGGCCGTCCCTGTGATAGGACCAATTTAATTTGACAGTCAACCCCCAAACCTTACTTTTAGCCTTAAGTTTTTTAAGCTTTCACTTCTTGTTCAGCTGTACCTGTGCCTCATGTTACTCACTATTAGCAATCTGGATTTTATACATCTTCTGTGGGGAACTTGAAGAAGCAACAAAACTCTTCAGATAAAGAGGAGCAGGAGAGAGGGTCAACAGGAAAACAAGGAGCCTGATGTGCCCGCAGAGTAGATAACAAACCTTGGAGCAACTGACTAATAAATTAGCAGTATCAATATCTTCCTAAATTACAGCAGGGAACCCATGATCCTTTTTGTGGCCTCGACTCTTTAGGACATCTGGGGAAGTCTATGGACTTCTCAGAATAGTGTTTTAAATGCATAAAATGAAACTCATAGGATTACTAATAATATAAATATTATATCATACTATTTATTTATATAAGCAATATACTATACAGTAATATAAATATAAAATAAACATCAAGATGAAATTTTTTCCTAAGTTCATGAACTCCCTGAAATCTAGCCATAGTCCTCAGGAGAAGGACTTTGCCATATTACTCCTTCAAATGGTGTTTTAAGGCCCTCACAGGGATGTTTTTCTGTGGTGAATAGAGCTGTGTCCTTTTTATCTTTGCTTTCACAGTGAAAAAATTCGCAGCAGTCTTACTGAAGGCTTGGGAGCCCTACTTGTACCTGGGTAAAAGATACAATATGTGATGAAAAGAAAAAAAATTCTCTAAGGAAATTTGAAAAGGTGAAGGGTGATTATAGAATACTTATCATGTAAGCTTCTGGAGAAACTCTGGACATGAAATTGCATCAGTGTGCAGAGCTTTCAGGGTAGAGATTCTCTCCTCCAGTGACGATCAGTGACTCATGCGTAACCTGTATGCTTGGAGAATGCACATCACTGGCAGAGCGGGTTGGCATGTTGAGATGTTTTCCTAAACTCCTCTCCCCCTACATTTTCAAATTCTTTGTTATAAGAGATGACTGGGTATGGAAGTGCCATGGATATATCAAGAATTGAAGATGATTTAAAGACAAATGATCAATATATTTTAGAGCTATGGTGTTGGAGAGTTGCTTCAGAGACAGAGAGGTTGTGACTTGTCCATAGTTACACAATCACCATATCCGAGGTGTAGCTTGAACCCCAGGCTTCCTGACTCAAAGACTAGCTCTCTCTTCACTCCACCTTGCCTCTTCTCATCAGTTTAACAAATTCCCAACAGTTCTCAGGTTCTCCTAAACAAGTTATAGCAGTCAGTAAAAAAAAAAAATCTGTACTGGTATCTGTCTTCTTTAGTCTTCTAAATGCAGAAAAAAATTTTCTGTTGTTACTTAGGTACAGTTGCTAGGACAATATAGGATTATAGGGATGGTATAATGTGGTCTTTACTTTTTAATACTAATGTAGCATGGATAAAATTAGCTGGAAAGAAATGCTACAGAATTTTCCCTATGATTTCTCTCCTGGTATCTGCTTTTAGACCTGTGACTCCTAGAAGAAAAAAGAAACCTGTATTTTCAATAAATCATTGTAATGGCTATCACTATACGAAGGAAAAGTAGCTGAAAAATCATTTGCCTACAGTACTTCATCCACTCATACACACACAGAGAATCCTTAACAGACACCCAGACTACCTCTTCCTCCATCATAACCCAGGAAGAGTGCTGTGATGGAGTCCAGATGAAACACAGAGATCAGCCAGCCTCTGGCTATTGGTTTTCTGGCACCAAAGAAAGGCTGAGGTGTGTTTTACAATCTGTGAATCAGTCGATCCATCTGCAAGTATTTGTGAAATGCCTACTGTGTGCCAGATATCGTACCGAGTCTTTTTTTCAAATTCATTTCTCCAGTTCATCTCAGCAGACTTCTCACCCTGGAAATGCCTCCACCCTAGAGCTCCTTCTTCTGTTTATTGAACCCCAGCCCTCACTACCATTTTGGGAGGCACCCAGGCCAAACCAAATTTAATCTCAACTCCACTGCCCAACATTTCTCTCATTTTAAAGCAAAATACCTTAGGGAAATACATATATACATGTGCAAGAGAAAGCCATGAAGGTAACCAGACCCTCCATCATCTTTTATCATGAATTTTCATTTGGTTCTCTTCCCTGTGCTCATATAAACGTACTCAATATCCTCTATAGACAACAGATCAAATAATAGCTTAAGGAATACCAGACCAGAAACCTGGACCTTTCCTGTTTTTATATTTGTAAGAAATAGCAGAGTGAGCAAAAAAGACAATGCTCTTAATGTAGCTCTTGACACAAGCAACTGCTGTCCCTCCAACCCCACAGTTCAATTGTCCTGCCTCCCTGAATCAGGGATAACAATAGGGCACATACATTTTTTTTTAAGTTAGTGACCTAATTTAAGGAGCCAAGTCCTCTGGTTTTGTCCTCAAATTGTCCTGGCTGCAGTAAGGTCAATGATTCCTCATTGTTATGGGGCATCCTGTGGTCTCCCTAGAAACTACTAGAAAACAGATCCTGGTTCATAGATGTGTATGGACAGACTATAGCTTCATGGTCTCCCTCCCTACCCCCATGCCCAAATGAAGGTTGAGGTGCTTGCCTTTTGCTCATTTCTTAACCTCACCCCTATGACATCAGTCCTTCAGTTTTCATGGTGATGTGCCACACACGAGTACAAGCAATACCTTCTTTGAATTAGTACCATGTTTGTGTTATGCAGAAAAAAAAATTTTCATTGCATTCATTTAACATAAAGATGAGAAATCACTGTCTGTGAGGCATTTCAGCCTTCAGTTGAATTTTGCTCTGCCCACAGTACAAGTATTAAGAGGTGATACTCACCATATGCCTATAGTTGTAAAAATGCACCATGACTAGAAGTGTTTAAGGGCAAAATCCTAACAGCTACAAGATAGAGATGTTACTCCTTAAAAGTGTACATGTGTGTCTTGCCTCTCTCTGTTTTTTCTCTAACTTTCTGTATGCCTATTCCTTTCTTCACCTCTTTTTCTGTATGTGTTTCTTTACATTCCTGTTTATCTTTCTCCCCAGCCCCCAATTTGTATCAGTCTTTCCCTCTCCCCAAATCTGTCTGCTCTCTTTCTTTACCTGTGGATGTCTATCTGTGTACTTTCTATGTCACTTTCTCTGTGTCTCTTTCCGTCTTTCTCCCTAGGTCATTTTCTCTGTGCATATCTCAATGTTTTTCTAAGTGTATGTCTCTTTCTCTAACTTGGTACACTGGTCTCTTTCCTTCACTTTCTCATGTCCTCTCTCATTCTCACTCTCCCTTCTCCGTTTCCCTGTCTTTCTTTCTCCCATCTGTCTCTTTGCCTTAACTGGCCATCACATAAAACCAAAGCATGGTTGTTTTTAAAAATATTTCTTGTATTGAATAGTTAAACATTCTCTGGTCTTAATTTAAAAAGCAGCCAAATGGAACTTTTTGTGTTTTGCCCTTTCAAAAATGCAAAACAAAGCCAGGCCCAGTTGCTTTTTTAATTACGCTGATCTGGATTTCCTTTCCCTTGGGAGTTGGTGTACCTCGACAGAAAAAAAGATTCCCAACGCCAGACTTAAATGGTGATAACATCCAATCCGAGCTTCATTATCGAGTTCATTCCTCTGTTTTCATTACTGGCCCTCAAGGGTTTCAGGGCTCTCAAACTAAGCTCCTGTTCTTGCTTTGAAATCAAGATCAGATAGAACTTCCATTTACTAAGGTTCTGAATGTCAGGGAACTGGGAACTTTGGTCCCTGTTTACTCTCACCAAGATTTTAAAGGGACAGTAATGACTTTGGGGGAAGAAATGCAAACTGGAGAGCTTTAGCCTCAGCAACCTATCAATCAATAAGTATTTATTAATATGCCTACTATGTTGTTGTTCAGTCGTTCAGTTGGATTTGACTCTTTGTGACCCCATGGACCATATCACGTCAATGATATCCGATGGGTTTTCTTGAGTGGTTTTCCATTTCTTTCTCCAGTGGATTAGGGCAAACAGAGGTCCAGTGACTTGCCAGGCTAGTCATATTAGGCACTGGGGGTACAAATACAAAAATGAAACAGTCCCTACCCTCAAGGGGTTCATATTCTACAAGGAGAAACTAAAGATCCACGTATAAATTTATACAAAATACATATGAAGACAATACAAGGTTATAGGAGGGGTGTACTAGCAGCTGGAGGCATCAGGAAAGGACTTGTGCATGAGCTAAGTCTTAAAGGATGCTAAGTATTCTAAGAGGTAAATGGGAGGAGGAAGTTCATTCCAAACATAGAAGGTGCAAAGGCAATGAAGAAGGTCATGTGTAAGGGACAGCAAAAAAGCCACTGTAGCTGATCTACAGGGCGTAGGAAGGAAAGAGATGTGTAATACACCTACAAACATAGGCTGGAGGCAGGTCAGGAGGGGCTCTGAAAGCCAAGCCAGAAAATTTGAAGCATTAAGGAGACACTAGATTGTTCATCTACCTCTGATGGTTCTCTCCTTCAGCCTTCACTATGGTCTTTCCAAAAGGGCCGTCTACTTTCAGTAGCCAGTGTTTCGCTAGAAAGATCTCGGACTTTCCTTAAATGGTTAAACAACTTCCCTCTCCTATCAGAGAAGAGAAAACCCAGTGTGTTTGTCTTAATGACTATTTATGAAGACTGTTTAATACCAACATGAAAATTTATATCTCAAACACAAGATGGCACTGGGCTTTGATTTGTACCATAACCCCATAATTCAGTTTTTAAAAGCTCTTACTCTAAAAGATGCCATAAGAATCCCATAATTTATGGGACATTTTCTGGAGGTTAATTTAATGTTTAGATTA